TGTACTGTTGTTGGGTTTGTTAGTGCCAATTTTGTTCGTGAGTTGAGTGTTATTGTGGGGAATGTTAGAGAGTTTTCTCAACTATAGCTGGTGTGAATAAAGGAATGCTTTATGTGGTTAATTTCTTCATTTATGTAGTTCATTGAACAGAGTCTTATGGCTGTGTTTATGAGGTTTTTAAGTGTATTGATTTTTGTGTGGTGTCATGAGTGGAATTCCAGGGGATGTAGAGACCAGTGTGTGTGTTTTTTCGGTGAATTTGGGTTTTAAACTGTGTGTCCGATCTAATAATTTTGAGGTTAAGAAAGGATAACTGTTTATTGTTTTCGTGTTCTAGGGTCAATTTGATGTAGGGATGAATGGAATTTATGTATTTAAAAAAAAATTAGTTTAATTATTTCTTATACTTCAAAAACATTGCACATTTTAAGTACAGGAATACAATTATTTTTTGCACTTCAACAACACTGCACAAACAGCTTACTTTTGTTATGAGGCTTCTGGTCTTTATAAAAACAAAACAAAAAAAATTTCATACATATCAAGGCAGAAGTAACTTTGCTCAAACCTAAAGGAAAAAATTTATACTGCAATTTAATGCTTATATAATAAGGGGTGAAGGTTAATATAGTAAAACCTTCATAGTGCAGAACCTCCCCCAAATTTACTGCTATTTTATGGTTGAAGAATTTTTACATAATTTACATATGACTGCATAATCAGTGGTTGACTGTATAAATAATGCCTGAATTTATAGAATTAGTAAATTAAAGTTTAGGTCAATGTCATCAGATTTCTAATTTTTGCCTTAATTTGTTTCTCGTTGCTTGGTAAGTGGTGCCTGTTGGCCACACAGTCTGAATAAGGGTTTGTAAAACAGTTCGAAAACATGTTCATTATTTCATTAAAGGTAAATGCTAAATTGCTGTTGATGGTAGAAATGCATTAATTATGGCTAACATATTTTAAAATATTAATGTTTTAAACAGTTTGTACTATAAGTACGACTTTGAGTTCTCATAATTAGAATTTGATGCATAATCAGCCAAATTTTGTGTTGCATATTTCCAAATTGTTGGCCTTTTTTTTGGTTCGTTTTTTTGCTGGTAAGGATATTAATTTTGTTCTAATTTATGTTGATACATTTACCTGAACAAGCATGGATACTCTAAACTTTTGTACACTACATTAGTTCAATGATCAGACAATTTAAGCTTAATTATGAAGAAAAGTTTTTTTGTACTACTTTGTAGTTAAATTTTCCTTGACTGTAGAGTAAGCTAGCCATGAACTTCAAGTTAAACTTAAAGACCTACCCTGTACAAAATACAACTGAAATGCACTTTACAGTGTTGTTCCATCTGCATTAAGATGTAAAATGTAACTTGTAAGGCTTAAGCTTATAAATATTAAATCACAAATAATGGAACACTACAAATACAAGTAAAATATTAATTTTATTATACTGACTATACAAAAGTATATTACGTTAGCTGTAACAGTGGAACTTGTATGTGTAATCTCAAGTTATGGGTTAATTTTTAGTTAGTTCTGATCTTCAAGTTCAACTCATTTAACTTTGAAACTCAACTTCAGATTAAAATTATAATATTAATACCTCAGTTAAACATATAATGATGTATATTTAACCAAGTAACATACGCTACACATTTTAGTCGAAGTGATACAACGAGACTGGTAGTATCTGTGATACAATGATATTGATAGATAAAATCGGCTGGAAGTTAAGCCTTAACTTTCAATTTCATTAATTATGTTATTATTTAACTATTTTAACTTTAGTTTAGCCCATTTTCCTGGAAATGCAGACCCCGTGAAACAGCAGACTCAGCTTTAAAAATAAGTTGAGCTACTTTTACTCAAAATTACACTTAACGAGTAATTTATTAATGCTCCCTGAAAAATGCAAATAAACAAACTAAAAATAAAATAATAAGCCTTACCGTAATTTATAAGTCCTGGTCCTAACAACTCGTCTCGCTCACACTTTAACCGAAATATCTCACACCCACACTTCCGTTAATGGCTTCTCGACTCAGACTTTGCTGTTTCAATTTCCGGCAAATAAAATTTAAACGGGCATATTTGATAACAAATACTGTAGCGGGGAAAAAAATAAAAAAAATAATCGTTCTCTTCTTAATAGCAAAATCATAACCCGAAACATTTCTTATCTATTTAGTGTAATTGAATAAAAACATTTTTTTTTTTGTTATGAAAGCAGAGTAAATTATATTTAATTGCTGTTTGGGTTGAGGTGTGATATATAACTATATCACGTGTTTCTTTCTTCTTGAAATGCTAAAATATTTATTCTGAATTTATTCTTTGTTCTGTCCATGTGCAGGTTTCACATGACATGTAGGTCAGAACACCGTTAAAATAAACTTGCTTCAAGTTACCTTTGTTCTGTTGGTGTTCTCGAAGTAGGTAATACTTGTTACTGTCCGTGGAGAATTTTGCTTAATACGTCGTGCAAGAATTTTGACAGCAGTGTCTTCCAAAGGTTGTTCAGAATGACCAGTCGCGCTGGGTAAATGCGAGGTTTCTTTGAAGCTAAGAAACCTTGGATTTCGCACCATTCAGTCTGAGAGAGAGATAGCACAAAGAAATGAGAAGACATAAGTAACATCATGTCATATCCAGTGACCATCGTTGACTGGCTTAACATCTACTCTTCAGATAAATATGTGAGTTCATAGAAAAATTAAACCAGACCCCAAATTCATAGCCGAGGAAATTGTAATCCATTGTAGCAAGATATTCATTCAACTACGATCAGTCGAAAACTTCATATACCTTACTTAGTTCATCCTGAAACTCTGAGCCACCAACACAATGTCGTTCACCAGTAAGCAGTTCCAGCCTTTTTAGCATTTTATTCAGTAATGGGGATCTTTCATTACTACTCAGTAAATTAAACAAGCCCTGAAAAATGACATAACAGAAATTTACCCAGCCCACAGAGTAACATCCAGAAAAACAGGAAACACCGCCAATTTCACGCAAATGGTTGTTAATTCCAGTCATATAGCTGACCAAATACTTCAACATGGATGTTTTATGAAATGCCTCCATATCAGAGCTGAAACAAACCATTCCAAAGCTAAAACAAAGACCAGTCAAGTAACATAACGTTCGTTCCAAGCAAGTTCAACATAACACTATCAAGACTACATCCCAAATTCAAGCAAGCAGTCCCAAGCCCATACACTCGCAGATCAGGTGCCCAATGTTTAATACTACAACACAAATGGAGAAGTCTCCCAAAGTAGTCTAAACTGGGGCTTAAGCCTGCCACAAATAACAATGATGACTAATGAGAAGACTTTGAAGACAGCCTAACCTGCTGATGCAAGCCATTTGCAACATATTAACATCTAGTAGGTTTATTGAATGATGCCACCAACGACACTTCCCCCAGCCAAATCTCATATTGATTTTCCGGTTATTATTAACAATTTAATATAAAGACTATTTTAGTCACCAATCTAGCCGTTCAAGAGATCTTCTCTTCCAGTCAAAGCTTTATTTCGGGAACTGGTCGGGTAGAATTTTCGATTATCAACTAGTGAAATGTTGGTTTTTCTAGGGGTACTTTTATCCCCCCCCAAAAGAAAGAATTTTGGATATAAGATCTTTTGATCCTCGCCCCCTCTCCAGCGCTGGATAATATGACCCCCCCCCACGTTTGTTTCATTAGATCCTATGGTTCCCACTCTTTCCTTTTTTTCCATGAAAACTTCCAGCCAACATCGAGAGTAGGGAAAAGGGGGAATTTCAATTTCTGAGCACCACAGATCTTCTAACCGAAATACTTGCCATATTTAAAAAATTATATTTGGCAGGATTGTGTGGAACATCATTGAAGACAGACTCTTCTGGAACTTGGTCGTCAGTCCAGTGAAAGTGACGTAAGTGAACTGCAAGTGTGCACTGTGTTTATGTTTAATGGTGAATATAGATTGTTCTTTTTGTATTTCACTTTGTGTCCAGTCTCGTTGCTACTCCGTAACTGATGTCTTGAGCAAACCTCCTGTTATTTAGCGGACTTACTTGATAATTTGAACGACTCTTCAGTTCATCTGAATATACGACTACAATGGATACTAAATAATATGGTACTGGTATTTTCAATCTGAACGACACCTTATGTGCACATGAGGCAAAATGGCCAAGTCAGAAATTTCTGTGGTTCACGTATAGTCAGCCCTAAGATTGTACAATTGATCTGAGAAAGGGCATCCAGTTAGTAGTACCTGCCATCACAAGAGGTTTTTTTGGGCCTTTGAACCAAATAAGATTGATACTTTTATAACGCACATAACTGTAATTGTGAAGCAAGTTCTGAAGCTTCGTGCACCAAATATCGATGTTCCAAAGGCCAATCGCTAGGCCACGCCGGACTCATTAATTATCATGGAAATAAAAATCATTGTGACAATTCGTATTTTTGAATGTATATAGAATCTTCCATGCATCCCAAAAAATTACCTCTCAATGTATAACAAATTCACTAAAAAGTGTTAAATAACAACAACAAATAAATAAATTAACATAAGAATAATTCTAACGTATGAGCAGCAACCTATACAATGATGAGCTGGTATTAGGCGACATGGCAGATATAGTGTGGTTGGTACGTCATTATACATTCTTCTTTACTTTGACTTTGAAGTTGTATACATGATAATTTTATTTATTTAATGACGTATGAGTTATTGTTCACCACGTTTTGTTTTAAACCAAAAGGGGAGGGGGGAGGGTTCAATGACTTTGAACCGTATAAATTTGAATTAAATGTCTTTTACTGGTTCAGTAACACAAATCTTGGCGTCGAAATTATTAAAAATTCTAGTAAAACGTGGTGTATAGGCACAATAATTTACTACAAAAGCGTGTTACTACAGTAAATGCTCAACGTTCTGTAAGTAAACCCGAGTAAAATATTATATTTCGCAAGAAGTGCTACAAAAACGTCAGGTTAGCAATTGGCAGGGATTATACTATCAAATAAATAAGTTAGGGAGGTGAAATAATATCACCAATAATTTCGTTTGCCAAGAGCGTTGCGTTTACCCCACTCGAACATTTTTGCTGCAGATAGCCAACGGATTGCTTCTTGATAAGCAAAAAGCTACACAGTGAGCCAATTCCTGTGAATTGATCGTTTATCGGATTATATAAAATGTTATATACATTTACTTGTTGATAATTTGTTAGCTTAGAACAATTAGTTTCAATGTCGTGACACCTGTAAGAGAATGTTTGAGACCAAGTCTCAGTTTTTTCTGAAGTTATTGGCAGTTGGCCCGAGACAGGAAATAACAAAAACTCTGTACTTGTGGAAAGCTTGATGCTATATATATAGGGTTATCAAAGGGTCATTTAAAATATTGCAAAATCAAACAGCTAGGTTACACAAAATATGGTAGCCAAAAAAAAAAAGAAAAAAAAGACGTTTACAATGTTACGTGTAGTTTATAGTCTTTATTGTTAAGTCATTTCTAATAATGGCTATCCAGAGATCAATAACCAAATAACTCATTATATAAGAAAGTATTCTGATCATGATGACCGGACAACACGAGATGAAAAAGATATGTAACCGACTGTAATATATAAAAAAAATTACAATTTAGTTCAGGATGGTGGTTTTATCTAGTTGGGAAAGGTGGAGCTTTCTCATTCATAAGATATCGTTAACTTGGTAAAATTATTAAGAGTTGATTCATTAGTCTCGGATATAATCTTCATATTTTTCCACAGTTATTAACAACTTCCTTCTCCTGTGATCCTTTGAGAACTGTTTTAATTAAAATACGCTCTGTCCTGTGATTTACCCGTTTACATTCTGATTAGTTGCAAAATTAATTATTTTCATTTTTCTAACCTCCGTCAGAAGGAGTTGATGTTTCTACACTATTTGATCTGACAATCCAACAATTTCTGGAAGGCGTCTTTACCGGTTTATCTGTGACTTTCACTTTTTAAATTTTAATTATTTTAACACTAATATAATTATATTTTGTAGAAACATTTTTGTGAATATTTTAAACGTATATATTAAAAATGCTTTAAAAGAAAATAATTATTTAATAAAATGATCTTAAATGATAATTTTCATTGATATTGGAAGAAAATTTATCTGAATCCCGAATATTTAACAAACAAAATAAAACTTATTATAAATTTGTTTTTAAATACAAACCATAAGAATGAAAGTATATTGTCTGAGGGATATTTTTTTTTTCTAAAATAAAGATCACTATTAAGTAATTCATAGACCAATAAATATACGATGAATGTTATTATTTATTTTCAATTTTGGAATGTTTTATCTAAACATGCTCACGATTAGCTTACTACTACTATTCTGAAAGTTGAGCCTTGTACAATGGTGCTGCCGAAATACATGTTATGGACTCGACCATTACAAATCACAATGGACATCTTACAAAGAACAAATTTCTAATTTTATTTCACAATAGTAACCCCTTCTATTTATTACATATTCACACATACAAACATGTAATAATCAGACCAGATTAACAATAACTGATCTAAACTAGGCTTAGTTTCAAAAGCTTACAATACAACACCCCTAGAGATAAATATGTCACCTACTGAAACGATAACCATGTTTGACTGTTCTTTATGTACACCACACTAAAACACCTACTTTCTGAGAAACAAACAAACAAAAATATAAGAAATACCAGATTCAAAATTATAAACGCTGATGTTAATGTGTCTTTAACAAATGTTCTAATATTAAATAACCATAACATTTGGAAGGTTCAAAAATTAACAGTTGCTGTTTGAGCAATACTGAGAAAACTAGATAACTTCTGGCTACCAACTCACCTGCTAACGCTTGTTTCCAGACCCATCTACTTAGCAGTAATAGTTACACAACACTGAAATCATTGTAACAGGTCAGTTTCTTCTAGTAGCAAACCATCGAAATTAACAAAAACTATTCTAGCTAACTAACAGTAATTTAATGAATAATGACCATTATTTCTAGGCTCACATAGTTCAAAATGCACCAACAAACAAAATCACACTGAACTAACAATTCGGCTGATACATCAAGCATACTTGTGTGGAAAGGAAGTGAGGCACATAGAGTATCCAAACTAAACTAATCTCATCAATTCCCCTTTACTTATTAAAAAAAAAGAAAGAAAGAAAAGTTTATTTACAATCTAACAGATAAAAAGTGGTTATGCATGGCCAATACACAAACTGTTTTTACATTACCATACAAAAATTGATGATGATTAATAAAAAAAAAAAAAAAAGATGTATTCCTTACTTTTACCACTACTTTCAACAATTTTTTTTTTACTTTTTCTGATAAAGCATCAAATTT